GGGCTCCTCCCCCTCTGCCAGAGGGACGGATCCGCCCCGCAGCTTATGCTGTACATCAGCTCTTCCCAAAGGCTTTGGGTACCGAGATCTGCCCCTGCGGCGCCTACAACAGCTCTACCCTGGGTTTTCAGGGATGGAGGTGGGTAGTGAGTGTGTCTGAAACCACGATGAAGAAAATTGTGGTGCTGTATCTCACTGTGTTTTGAAATATTCTAAGAAAGGCTCCCACAAGTGAATAAACCCCCCGCTATTTAGAAATAAAACAGCACATTGGGGTGAGGAGCGATGACAGCAGAACCACTACTAGACATGAATTCAGTCATAAACACCAACTTAGCCAAGAAAGCAACTCCTACAAATGTTCTGACCTCACCTGCTTCACGCCAGAGCTTTCACAGCAAAGATACAGGCTGGCCAGCAAACAAATTCCTGTTGGGAAGAGGATGTGCCTTAAAAGCATGAGAAACTTGGACAGCCGTGAGACCAGGGAAGGAAAAGGATGCAGATGAGCCTCAGAAACTCACACAGCCCATCTCTCTTCTCTCCTGGGCTATAATTCTTTTAGGCATAAAAATAGTAGGAAATACTGCACTCCAACCAAACTTGGATCTTAAATCTGAACACACAAGGTTTAAGCATCAATACCCTGAAACATTCCTCTTCCGCCTGTGGCTTCAACATCTCCCTCACTAAAAATAGGAAACATTTGAACATAGATGTCATTAGACAAGAACAAATAGGTGGAACCATCCACAGAAAGCTCGAGGGACTGAAATACACCTAGAAGTACAGCACCAACTCCTATTCCTAGTAGCAATATGAAGCTGTCCCTACCTTCAGAGGAAGTCATGGAGCTCCTCTCGCAGCGCAGGGAGGATGGTGCTGCTCCAGCCCTGCCCACGGAGCAACTGCTCAGCTCTGGGCACTCCTGCAGCATCAGACAAGCGTCTGACTTGGGCAGTTTGAGGATTATTGTAGCTTAAGTGCTTTGCCTGTCCCATCAGAGGTGCTGAGGGGATAAGGAGCCTGCTTACGCAGAGCACGCACCGGTCGCTAAGCTCCCGGAATGGAAGGTGTTGTTTCTGCAGCTGCCTTTGTGTTGTTTGAACTTCTGTTCTTTCATCAGGCCCCCCAAGATCAGACCCAGCCCTAGGCCTCGGAGTAACGAGATGCTGGAAGTGACAGCAGGGATGGCGGGAGGCATGGAGGTGTAAATCTGATCCCCCAGCTCCAGAAGACTTCACTGTAATCTGCATTTTAGGGTGTTAGAGGTACACAATACACACATGAGCAAGAACTGCAAACTTCTGCAGCCCAGATGAACTCTATCAAAAATTACTAATTCGTGTGCTTTTGCTAAGAGAAACCAATGCAATCAATCAATCAATGTTCCTCCTTCAGCTGAGGAACTATTGACATGACACAGAAGGCCCAAGTGCTGGATTTAGGCAACTCTGTGTCGCCTCGTTGTGAATTACTCGATGCTGGGATGCAAAGAGGCCAAGAAGTGGAGAGATGAAATCCATCCCTGCACGTCAGGGCCAAGGAAGAGGAACAACTGCAGCCCTGGGGAGTTGGCACAACAGGCTGTGTGGACCAGCAGAGCCCCAGACCACATGGCCCATGGCTGTTCCAAGCCACCTGGCCAGAACATGGAAGGCTTTGAGATGAGATGCCTCTGTCACCTTGTAGGAGGGAGAAGTTCCTTCACACAAACCTTTAGCCAACAGTTCTCTCCACATCTAAGTTGTATTTGATGCCTCAGAGTAAAAAGGCTCCAAAGCTTATGCCTCACTAAGTTTGCAGATGACATCAAATTGAGCAGGGGGGTCTACACAACTCCTGTGGTAGGATTTGCTACCACAAATCTGCTCAAGGGTCAGGAGGCTCTGCAGAGGGATCTGGACAGGTTGGACTGTTGGGCTGAGGTCAGCTGTATGAGGTTTAACAAAGCCAAAGGCCAGGTCCTGCTCTTGGGACCAAACAACCCCAGGCAACAATCCAGGATTGGTGCAGAGTGGTTGGAAACTGCCTGGAAGGAAAGGCCCTGGGGGTGCTGGTGGGCAGCTGGCTGAACATGAGCCAGTGTGTGCCCAGGTGGCCAAGAAGGTCACCAGCATCCTGGCCTGGATCAAAACTAGTGTGTTCATCAAATTTATATATATATTCACAGGGCTTTTTGACCTATTTCACCACAGCTGGGAATTTTTTCCATGTTGTGATCCCAGTTCTAGTCCCCAAAAGTGAAATGTCAACAGCTGCTTTACTCACCCCTGAAAAAGCCATCTTAGGATTCATCTAAGCTTGCAATAGGTCTGTCTCTGCACACAAAAATACAAGAACTATTTTGACTATGATGCTTAACATGCTTCATTTAAGAAGAAAAACATGTTTACTAATGAGGACTGGTTTTGTTTTTTTAAACTTCTGTATTTCTGGCGATTTCATCATCTGGCTTTTGGCTTATAAAGATAAAAGCCACTAAAAATAGGATGTTAATACTGGCAGAAACTGCCTCGTCGGGGGCAAGACTGAGATTTGTGAAGAAAAACTCACAGTGGGATGGTAATTCCATGCCATGAGAGGCCTGGCAGCTTTGGGCTTGCTTGGGCACTTCCCTGCAGGCTCTGATGGCAAAACCAGTCCTTACACTTTTCTTCAAGACACTCCAGTACCTGCCTACTGAAAGAAAGGTTCGTCTGTTGGACCCTCTCACATTTACACACAGAACAATAATGAAACATTTCTTCATCTTTAAAATAATTTATTATTGAATTATCTGACAGCAGTGGCCCAGGTGTCATTCGTGGGGAGGCTTGGAAGAACCCATCCTGGAGGGATGCTGCTTCCTTCAGGGTGATCAGCTGGCACCAAGTACTGATCCCATTCGTGCCTTTAACAGAGAGAGTGTTGCTTGAGCTGCTGTGAGCCTGGTTGTGAGGTTCATCAGACACCCACAGAGATATTTTTCCATACTGGTCAATACACAAAACATGATCAATTGTACACAGAAACTTGTTTTTCAGAACACAAATGTGACAATTCTGTGGGGTGGTCTGTTAAGGGAAGGGTTATGTGTGGAAGTGTGCTCTGCCTCACACAGCATCTGTTGGATACAACTCCATCAAGCAAGAAGCTTGATCCTTAGCTGAGAAAAGACAGAGCAATTCATTGCAGAACCATATTTGGAAGTTAAAGAACCAAAAGGGACTGTGATTTTACAACTGCAACAAATACTTGTCATCTCTGATAATAAAATGAAGCCTTTGTTTGGTTTTACCTGATCTGGATTAGAGCTGCTACAGAATGCTCAGCTTGCAAGTAATACTCTCGGAAGGGCTGCAGTAGGTGGGCTAGAGGAAATTCATCTGTTAAAACACAAACACAGCAATAGTTCAATAAACCAGAGACACCTCCTGTTCTACTAAGCCCCAAATTTGCCAACGCATTTGCTGCTCCCCAGCTATGAGTTGAAATCACTTCCCTGTGTAATATATTAAGGACTATTTAAGTGAGCTGATCATAGAGGTCTTCTCCAACCTAAATGATTCTGTGATTACATTTTCCATGCCTCCTCATCCTCACCGGAGCTGCCAGAGGCAAGACAAGATCAGCAAAAGTCTTCCTGTCTGCACCCTCTGAACAGGGGGAACAGGCAGACACTGAATCTTTACAGATTACCCAAACCCACTTACCAAATCACCAGACTAAAGCATCTGTTGGGTGCTGGAAGTCTTCAGTTGATTCTGTTTATTCTCACTTCAGCCTGATCTACAACCTCTTCTTGTAAACGTTCTGAAATTGGTCTGAGATGTGCTGCAGCCTGTGCTGAAGAGCTCCACAGTTCTTACCTCACTCATGCTAACAGCACACTCCATTTATCCCACCTTTTCCTCAGATCATAAATTATTCCAGTGGATGATTTCTTTCCCAACTATTTTCCTGGCTGCTTTTTCAACCCAGTATCTAGGAAAGAGGAGTGTGGTGTGCAAAAATACTGTTAAATACAGCGTGCAGAATTTACCTGGATCCCCAAACAGCTTGGAATCAATTTCGAGCTTCTGCTGGAGCAGTTTTTCCCTTTCCTTCTTCTGTTTCTTTTCTGTTTCTCTCTTCCTTTCCTCCTCCTGTTCTCCCTCCAACATAACCCTTAATGCTCTCTCCTCAGCTTCGTACAGCTCTGTGCGATTTTTGAGCAAAGTTTTGAGACTCTCCACCTGAGTTTCAAACGCTTCATCTGCTGAGGGGGGTGGACAAACACCTACACAGAAAGAGAACTAGTTTTAAATTTGCAAGTTCAGAAGGGGCTGTGTTATCAGACTCGAGAGCAGAGCTGATAAACATCTCTGAGGAACATGAGCTTAACTGTGCTAATAACAATCTTACTAGAATAATTCTTCTATTGAGAAAAAGGTTGGAAATGTATGAACACAACCACTGTATCCAGTGTTTTAAAGCTATTCTTGCAACTAAGATCACTAAGAAACAGCTTTTTTCAAGCCACACCTTGACAGCCAGCACAGGGCACGCACATCACCTCATTTCCTGTGTGTGCAATCTCAAAAGTTTGGTAAAAGTCTCCTATTAACCTTTCCTGGCAGCAGCCTCTTTCCTCAGCTTCCGAAGCTTTTCTAACGCCCTCAGGATGTCCACCATCCTCTTTGTGTCTGCTTGTTTCTTCCTTACTTCAGACAAGACACTGTCTGCAGCAGCCTTAAGCTCTCGCTCCTGTCAAAGAAAAACACCACCAGACACAGAGTGTGAAATATCTCAGGCAGCCAAGAATGAAACAGCACTTTCAAGAAGGCTAGCAAAGCACTGGAGATCAGAATAACTTCCTGGGAGCAAGTGAAGTCAAGCATGCAGCCTGCCTTTTTGTGACAATGCTCAAGCACCACTTCAGGAAACTAAAAAGTCTCAGCAACTCAGAAATCTGGGTCACATGGCTGAAGGTTTCATGAAGCCTGGTAACCTTTAACCACAGAAAGTTAGGAAAAATGTTAGAAATAAACATATATCATCCCAATTCTACAGCTTGGCAATTAAAGTCCAATAACACGCTCCAGTCTGCACACAGAGTTTCCCAGCAGCTGCTCTGTACCCACCAGCAGCAGATGAAGCACCAGTGGAAGTGCAACTCTTTAACACAAAGGTGCCTACATTCCATGAGGCTCTGAGCAGCCTGGGCTAGTGGGAGGTGTCCCTGTCTGTGGCAGGAGGGTTGGAACGAGATGATCTTTAAAGGTTCCTTCCAACCCAAGTCACTCTATGATTCTGTGATTTGTTTTGGTTGTGTGTTTTTTTTTTTTTGCTTTGGAGCTGTTCTACTTCCCAGTCAGACCAAAAAGCTTGCAAAGAAGCAGCTTTACAAGGATGAAGCCAACAGGCAAGGCTTATGGCTACTGAAATGGCACTGATGGTATAACCATGAACAATGTGCAACAGGCTAAGACCTTGGGACCACAGAGGAAAACCTCCCCATGCAACTGAGAGTTCAGAAACCACTTAAATCCCAACTCTTGAGGCCTAGGACACGAGCAGCACAGCTCAGAAGCCCACCAAGGTTTTGAAGTTAGAAGCAGGGCTGTGGGCCTCAGGAAGAGAGTGTCTCCATGCAAACTGAAGCCATGCAACACCCGTGTGGCACCAACGGATCGGCAGGGACCCAAGCCAGGTACTAGGCAGGCACAGCTCACGGCAAGCCCGTCAGTGGCAGGTGTCCCCTGGCTCCACCCCGCTGCCCTGCTTGCCAGAGGGACGAGCAGGGGTGCCCCGGTGGCCACGCT